TTTATTTGTCTGGTATGGCAACCAAAATCCAACGTCTGATAGATGTCATAGTGGTAACGTCCACACAACGTCAAGCTGTAACATCATTAGACATTGACATTTGGTTGATTTTAAGTTGGACGTTGGACATTTGGGTTTTGATGTGATTTCAGGTTGGATGTTGGGTTCTGATGTCAACCTGATTTTCTTTCCCAAACAAAATGCAACATCAATCTGCTGGGGGTTTATGGCCATTTTGGACATCATACAGTAAACATCGGTCATCTTCTCATCAGTGATATGCATCTAAAAAATCTCTAGGTCAATTTGTATAAAGAATTTGGAGATCTTCTTGGACACTTTTAATGTTTCCAAACAGTTTCCTGCAATTTTAAAGCGCACATGTCTTGAGGTTGTTTAGTATAATGCAATTTACTTTCTATGTGTGATTTGATTGGACAGGAATCACAGGACTACTCAGCCAATTTTTATTGGAAGAAAAACTAAAAGTAGTGACTGCAGTTTGAAGGAAAGTAGTGGAGTAAAAGTACCAATACTGCACCAAAAATGTACTCAAGGGAGAGTAAAAGTACACAATTTTAAAACTACTTAGTACAATTTCTGAGAAAATTACTTAATTTCAGTAATTTGAGAAGTTGTAATTTGTTAATTTACACCCCTGGAACAAACCATACTTTAATCATAGGCAACTCACGATTATTCAGTATAAAATAGCTCCCTGCTTGTACCGTACCAACGGGCTCCTTGGTCAGAAATAAGGCTGAAGACCCCTACAGTAAAACAACTGCAGCAAAAACACAGGCGCGCATATGGGAAATGAGATACTGTAATGCGCCAGCCAGCAAAAGCATGCATGCAGTCTCATGCTTTAATGCTCTCACAGACTATAAACAAATCCAGTTTACAATCACATCAAACCTCATGCGGAGTCAAAGGTTCAGTCACTTTGAGGCAATGCAATGCACTTTAACCATCGCCATGGCAACCGTCATCAAATGTCACAGCAGTGCGCTCATTGTGAATGGCACCGTTCCATATTTTTGCCTTGGCAACAAAACGGCAACTATTTTCAGAAAAAAAAGATTGCTTGCATTTATTAATGTATAGCTCCTGCCGGTATCAGGCTCTCATTCAGAATGCGTTTTAAGTTGTTCCGCTTGATACCGATTTTTGCCTGTTTCCTGCTCTTGAATCCCAGAGCTGCACATTTGTCTTTGTCTGCAACATGAGGTACCCTGCTGTGCCTTTCAGCTCTCCTGTTCATGCATATACGCATAAACGCATAAGCACCCAAACACAGATCTATTCACGCATCCTTGCGAACGCTACACTCAAGCACTCATTTTCATGCACCATTCACATGCCGTTTTATCTGTCGGTTCAGTTACACAGCCAGTCTAGTCAGACTTAAAGGGTTTTCCAAATAGCACATTTATTTAAAAAAAAAAAAAAAACTCATCATTATTTTGGCACCATAAAACAGCTCATTTTACTGTCACATCTCTGAATTCATTGCAGGCAATTAGAAGACTGTGAACTGTAAGATGCTCCTCTTTTCTGTTCTTTTTAAGATTAAATAGCACAGGTGTGTCAGTATAAAAGCACATTGCTCCATTTAACCAGGTGCAAGAAGTCAATGGTTAGGATATACAGATACATTTGGGGCTTTTAGAGTCAACTTAAAGTCAACATTATGTACTTTTCTAAAAACATGTTCCTGGTCTTATTGTTTATAATTCATCAGTGCATGTTATTCCCAAAGAAAAAAAATGTTTCCTCATAATCTTTCATCAAGATGTAATAACTCTCTTGGCTGTTTTTTTTTTATTTCTCCAGCTGACATCATAACCACTCTATATTTAAACCACAACCACCTGGCTCTGTTCTGACATTTTATGCCTGCTTTTTATAATCCAATCAGTTTCTGATAGATAAAATGAATCTTTTCCTTTTGAATATCCAGGATAACTCTATAATGTGGAGCGTTATTATAGAAATAAAAGCCCTTAAAGGGATAAATCACCCGAAAATGAACATTTTCTCACTACTTATTCTCCCTCATGAGATTCCAAACCTTTATGAGTTTCTTTATTCTGTTAAACACAAAAGAAGATACTTTGAAGATAGCTGAAAACCATTGATTTCCATAGTAGCGATAAACAATTGTTACATATAGGGATGATATTGCAAAATTAATTATCATGAAATATGTTTCATATCATACGAAATTGATAATTTATTTTTTAATAATCAGTTTAGGAATGTGTTTTATTTAACTACTTTATTTAAATAAGTGTTAAAGAGACTCTTAAACTTGATAAATAAAATGTTACAAAGTGTGTGCAATGCGGAAGTGTAAACACTAAACTATCAAAGCAAACTTTAAAGTGTGAATAATAATGATACAGTAAACGTTAAACTCTGTAAACAAAACAAAATATTATAATCAAATGTGAGCTTTCAGGTAAAGGAATCAGCCATCATTGTTCAAATACATACTGCAAAATTACAAATTGTGAAGTTGGATGACTACATTACCCACTATACTAAAACTCTGTCAGATGGGGTGCTAGAGGCTGGGATGCACAAGAAAAGAAACCAAAAAGCCACTTTGGCGACATCCTTGCATCAATTTTTTTACAATCTCCTCATTACTGCTATCCACTGCACTCTTTGTGCTTTGTTATTTATGGATGATTTATTGTGTATGGTGGCTGAAGGCTTTTAAGTCATTACAATCTTGCTTGGTGTTGAATAACTGTGTGTGAGTGTGTTGCATTCATAACATAGGTGCACAAGTCTACCGCACAAAACCACACACCTTTTCTCTTCCTCAAGACTTGCTTCTGAGCCATTTTTATGTTGGCTACTGAAGGTTGACTGATCAAAGCATCAATGTTTTCTACTGTATCTTTTCTGCAGTGCTAGTGAGTTACAGTGATCAGTTTAGCTTAATTCAGGATGCTTGGCTAATCTACCTCAGGAAAATCCACTTGTCCCAACTTTCATTCGAGATGGAAAGCTGAGAGGAAGTTATATAATGTCATCACTGTGGGAATATTGAGAACAAGTTTAAACTGTTTGAAATCTTAACCAGGTGTCACTTTACATTGCCAAAGTTAGATGCAAATAGGCATACTGTGGGGTTGTGTGATATTGACAAAAATATATCTCAGTTTTCCTTGGTGTTTGCTCAATATAAATAGATTTTTTGTTAAATGTCACATAGTTGTTTTGTTTAAGTTTTATTTCGTAACTACCATTTATTTCATAACTATTTTATATTTTGTAAATAAAAAGAAAAAGTCATACAGGTGTTTGTCTTGCTTTCATAAATTCTAGAGAAATTATAACTTCTTATATTCTTTGTCATACAGTAAATGCTTTTGTACACTCAAAATGACTGTTTTTATCAAACTACTTACTAAAAATGTGCTGAAACAACACAATTTTTTAGATTTTTGTGGAGAGGATTTAATTGTTTTATGTTCAATCCATTTACATTTGTAAAAATTAATAACCCAGCAGACACGCAACATCATTAGATGTTAATATAAATTTTGATTTAGGTCACCATCGTCTATGGACAATGTTATTTTAATGTCCAATAGTGAAGTGAAATGATGTCCACACAATGTCAAGCTGTAATATCATTAGACATTGGTATTTGGTTGTTTTTAAGTTGCGTTGGAAAGTACCCAAAATGCAAATGTCTGTTAGACATTGACGCCAGCCTGACATTGGTTTCTGACGTCAACCTGATTGTCATTTCCAATAAAAAAAGGGTACAACGTCAATCTGCTAAGAAGTCAACCTAGGGTGTACTCAAGAAAGGTTTTGCAAACAGTGCCTGGACTCAGTTAGGTTGGAAGAGGTGGCACAGAGCGCGGTTCCGTTGGGCTCGGGTGAGGTACACTTATAGTGTCCGTGTGCAAAACTGAAGAATCAAAGTCACTTTTAAGAGACTGCTTTATATGGATTTATTAATCATTTGTACATTTCAGTGAACGTGAACTGTCTAGTTAAAGATGCAAACCCCTCATTGCACGTCAGCTGCCACGTTCAGCAAATCTCCTAATACGTGCAGCACAATGTCAAAAATGGTGGATCTGTTCAGCAAAAGATTTGACTGTGTGTCAATGCATCCCAAATGACTTTAAAAAAAAAAACAATATAACTAAAGCGCTCTCCATTGTACTGAGTGAGAACGCTTCTCTTTATAACTGAATAGTTGCATCATCAATGACGTAAGCATGCTCGAGCTGGGAAGGTAAAAATGCAGTGTGATTTCAGTCCATCAGGGGAGAGGGGAAGGGGGACAATTGCACCAGGCATGGTTCAAGGCAATCGTGCCTAGTGTAAGCACCCCCTAATTCCATCATGTTGTCCCAACACAAATTAATTTAGTGGACTCCGGCATATTTTACAGTGTACTCATTACACTTGTTAGTTTTTTTGTGAATCGAATTACAAAATGTCAACTTGAACATCATTAAAATGACAGTTACAATATTATGGTAATGAATATTCATTCATTCATTCATTCATTTTCTTTTCAGCTTAGTCGATTTGGTAATAAATATTTCTCATCCATAAAACAAACAGTTTAATTAATGATGTAAATGAATGAATGTATCTTCGCCTCTATTTATATTAAGGCCAATCATTTTATGTTTGACAGATGTGGATATGTTTCATCCAAGGTCGATGAATCCAAACATCAGACGCATCAAAGCGACTGACCTTAGTCCTAGTGATGTCATCAGGATGTTTTTTTACCAAAGATGCATTAGATTGAAGATGGAAATCCATAAAAAAATAATGAGCGATCTTTTAAAAAGCCCCATGTGTCTTTTGCGCTACAGGCCTTCCTATTTTTACATTCTCCATTTAAAAGGCTTGTTGTTTACTTCTACCAGATACACAGTTGAACAAAAAGCAAAAACATTTTATTTCTTTTAATGATTACAGTTATGTTTTCTCTTTTTGTGTTTACAAAGGTACAACAAGGCAACCACGGGACGGAGAAATCTCAGGGGTGGATTATAACTTTGTGTCCATTGAAGAATTTTTCTCTCTGGAAGAGTCTGGAGCCTTGCTGGAAAGTGGGAAGTTCAAAGGTCAGAATCACTGTCTACTTTAAAACCACTTAATGCGTCTAAACTTGTTTCTCAACCAAACATCACTTCACAGCCCAACAGAGTAGAACATGGTATTTTCAGGATACTCAGAACATTTAAAGAAACCGATTGCCTCAATAGATTTAAAATTTTTTCCCTTCTAACTGAGACAACGAATAACCAAACTCATGTAGTTTGATTCTTTTTACAAATCAGATTAACTTAAACTCTTTAACTAGAGGTACAGATCTTCTTTGCTACCTCGTTCAATTGTAAATCGAAACAATCCCCATTGTTCTCCAGAGTGTCCCAGCGCAGAAATTTTCTAGGTATTCTTCACATGCTTTCATATTATTGAAGATTGCACATTTTAACAGTGTAAATCTAGTCTGGTTCCCTTGCAAAACCACAGATGTCTCACTGTCAGTCCACACTGTAAACCCTAATGTTGTCTTTACTTAAACAATCAAGTAAAGTTGACCGAACATTACTTAAAATTTAGCATTTTGGTCCTGTCACTTAAAAATATGAGTTAATTTAACTTATATACAACGAAAATGCATAATCTTAAGTTTTTAAGTATAGTAAGCTCAAAATCACAATTAATCCTTTGAAAAAAAAAATTATGTCGTCTTTTAGTGTAGTCCTGACTGTAAAATTCTAATATGTGCAACCTTTTAGTGCAAGGTCTTACTTATCAGAAATCAAGGCTTCTTGAAAAATTATTTACCATAATAGGAATAAATCGCTACTTATTTTTCTTTTAAACATTTTTTCATAGTATATAATCACACACAGAGACACACACACTGAACTGAACAATTTAAGTATAATCTACAAAACTGGCAAGTTAAATAAACTTAAATATGCATGTTTTGGGAGACTCATTTAAATTGAGGCAACGGGTTTACTCAATTTCGTTCAGTCAACTTATTAAGGTTTTCAGTGCAGTGTTGTGTTCATCTTTATGATTAGTTTTATTTATGTCAGCATTTCGCTCCACTGTCTGTCCACACATGTAGTGGAATGACAATAAAGCTAAAGCTGAACCTATCAACACTTGTCAGGTTTTGGTAACAGCACACTGACTTGTGTAACTCACAAATAGACTATTATACATTTACATGTATAAGTTAAGGATTATGCAGTATATTTACAGTAGTCTTAACACTTTGCAGCTCATCCACAGACAATTCTTTTCACTACAATGGTTAAATTGGTTAAAAATGTCATTGTAAAAGATACCTCAGTAAATCGCTACCTGTTCAAACTACTTATTTAAAATGAGCTGAATCAATCCAATTGAGAGTTTTTTGGGGGGAGAACTTAATTGTTTTATGGTAATTTCATTTTCATTTCATTTTTTTTCGGCTTAGTCTCTTATTTATCAAAGTTTGCCATAGCGGAATGAACTACCACCTGTTCCAGCATAAGTTTGAACCCTTTCAACTGCATCCTAGTACTGAGAAACACCCATACACACTCATTCGCACACATAAGCTACAGGCAATTTAGTTTATTCAATTCACCTATAGCGCATATCTTTGGACTGTGGGGGAGGACAACAGAAAACTAATGCAAACACGGAGAGAACATGCAAACTTCACACAGAAATGCCCAACTGGCCCAGCTGGGACTCAAACCAGAACCCTTTTTGCTGTGAGGCGACAGTGCTAACCACTGGGCCACCATGCCGCCCCTGTTTTATGTTCAGTCTACTTAAATTTGTAAAAACTATTAAGGTAATCTAATCGATTTGTGTTGGAACAATTGGGAAGCAATTGTGTGGAACCCAGCCTTTTTTTACAGTGAACAAACTGAACATTAAACAACAAAAAGGTGGCCTTCAAGATGCCTACAACATCAACATTGAATTCTAGGACTCTCACAGTTTTAAAAAGCCTGGATGTATGAGAGCTTAAATTTAAAAGTGAGATTTCTAGACCTTGAATTGAAATGAATAATGCAAATGAATGAAATATTAAAGTGCCATGGGAAACGCTAATGAATATACATTTCTCTAATTATACCAAGCTGTATAATAATGGGATCACTGAACATTTAAAATCGTTCCAACTATCCAAATCTTTAAACTATCTAATTGTAAGTTTTAGTTATTATAATAAAATTTTATTTATTTTAAATACCGTAGGTCAAAAAGGTTACAGCCATTGTCAAATAACAAATTAAATATTTAAAAATTGCTTATGAGCAAACCCCCTTCTCTTAAACTTAAGCCTTCTCTACATTTGTTAACTAAAAAGTTAACTAAATAGCCTTGTTTAATATTTTTTTATGTAAATGTTTTACATATCCACCATATATACCAAAAAAAATCAATATGGAAAATGTTTCTGAAGCTAATGATGATATTATGTGAGCATATGGAGCAGGCAGAGCTTGTTTTGGATGTGTAAGGAGTTATTTACTGTTCATCCGAGTTTGTGTGCGCATGCATCTGAATTTGTGTGCGCTCGTGAACACATGGCGAGGGTCAGGGCGTCACGCCAGAGCTCCAAAAGCTCAAGCCAATCAGAGTCCAGAGAAGCAGCCTCCAGACTGCAGAGAAAAGTGCCGTGCTGGCTCACTTCTGTCCTCCAAACATTATCAGCAGAAAGAGCTGAAAAAGAGCCCTAATGGAGAGAGAACAAGCGTGTAACGCAGACTGATGTCTCCGTTAAGGATCTCACACACAGCTGCAGACTCACACTATGACATCCTTCAAAGATGCAGCCCTCCGATTTATGAATATGTTTCCGCTGAGTCGTGTTTTTGACGCCACTGCGACACTTTACGTTCTTTTGTCTTTGGAAAGTAAGTAAGATATTGCTCGCTTATTATGTCCATTTCAGTCCCCCATGAGGTTTTTATGCAATCTGCTTTTTTGTGAATTTAAACAGCAAATGGGGTTGACTGATGTAAATGTCATACTTCTAGTGCTTTTGGCTTTTAATGTGCCCTGCCAAAATAATCTTTTATATATATATATATATATATATATATACAGTACAGCAGTGTTTAAAGCATTTAGGGCTAGGAAGAAATCTTTTATGCTCACCAAGTTTGCATGAATGAAATGTTGCTCTTTTTTCTATGTTTTGAAATGTAATTTTTAACTTTGAGTAATTATTGTAATATATTGTATATTTCTTGTTATTGTTGAAAACTGCTGCTTCTTAATTTCGTGAAAATCATGATATTCTAGTACTTTTTTTGTTAAAAATGCTTCAAATCACGTTCGGATACATTAAACTTAAGACATGTTATAAAAGATGTTAATTAAACAGGTTATTTAATCATAACTGATCATCAGATCAGCATATTACAATCATTTCTAAAAGATCATGTGACATTGAAGACTGAGTAATGTTAAATGATTACTTTTTATTAACTCATTACTACAGTAGGACAGTAGGACAGTAATTTTTTCTACCTTTTTTTTTTAATACCGTTTTAAATTTTATTTAATGTTTACAATGCAAACCCAATTAGATCCACTTATTTGGTAAACAAAGCAAGTCTCTTATATAATATAGCATAATTGAATACACCTCATTTTGGAAATGAATATTTTTATTCATTTCTCAGTGTATATAGGCAATGTATTTTGGTGCATTTAAACATGCCAGATCTATTAAACAGATATATTTATTAAAATATTTTTTAGTCACCAAACATATTTAAAAATTGAACAATAATACAATTAAATTCGAGCAAAATATTGCAAACAGAACTACAAAACTGCAACCTACAACATTTCAACAAATGTTTTAATTTTTTTTGGTTTCTCTTGATTTTTCCTCTTTTTTAAATTTGTATTTAATATTTACTATAACATATATAACATATATAACAAATTTGGGTATGCTAGTTTTTGGATCGCTATTGTAAGATTTTGTTAGATAAGTTTCAGATTTGGCTGCAGTACTGATTAATCTAATGTATATGTAGAAAATAATATTGTATAGCTTCCTATTAAAAATATGAATTTAAAAGAGATTTGTGAGGGGTGTACTTTATATATGCTAAGCACTGTATCTACTAAAAGACAGAAAACTGTAGACAGAACAGTATTGTATATAAATATGAACTTTTTTTATATTTGTCAATAATGTTACTAAAATCATTAAAAAAAAACTTAATAAATACAAATTTACACACATTTGATATGCATTACACACAAAATGATAAATAAATAAAAAAGTAAATAAATAGTCAATGATTGGCTAAAAGTGTGTGGAAATCTGTGGATTGCTGCACGTGCAGATTCCATATAAGTACATATCCATTACATATCCATGTATTGATCAAATCTTAAATGCCTAGATGAATATAAGAGATTTACACAAAACATAAGAAAAGTCTCTTTTCTATCCAGTTTCTGACCCTTTAATTGAATTATCGTGTTTTGATTTGTGCGCAGCATTCAACGCTTGGAATGAAATGCCCGCTGTAAGGACAAATATTAATAGATGGACACACATATGATGAATGCAGATAGAAATGAATCATTCTGTTTAAAAATGTACATTTTAAAATAACGCTCTGTAACAGATAAAGCAAAAGGATTTCAAAAGCAAAAACTGTTTTTCCACAACTTGGCACTGCACAGCATCTTGTAATCCTCTGCGTGTTTTGTTGCCGGAGAAGTCTTGTGTTTGCATCTCTTTCATATTTAATCTCTCAGTACACACATGAATAATTGGGCTAAAAACGGAGTGATATAGAAGTAGGCGCTGATCTACTGCAGAGTTGTTGCTTTTTGTCTCACTGTGATGTCATAATGAGACCAAATCAGAAACGAGCTATTTTGGCAGCTCGCTATCAATAAAACCTGTTTTTAGACTCCCTTTGAGTTCTGAAACTTACACAATGGTTTTTCAATACAATGCCTTTTAATTTGTCAAATAATCAAAGGATATTTGATTGCTCAACCCGTGACCCCTTAAACCTTTACTGAACCCCTAGAAATACTACTAGAAATTCAAAATGTGGTATTATTTGTTTAAAACGTCTATAATTAACTCCAAAAGTGTTGCTAACACCTGAGCAGTGATGCCCCGCAGCCCATGAGTCATTTCTCAAGCCAGAAACCACTCCGCACTCCTACTTTTTTATCACTCTGTACAGGAGAAAAGAGGCTTTTCTCTGTAATCCCTATTTCAGTTTTTTTCTGTCTCCAATCACTCCTCCGCCCCCATTCCTTCTCCCTCTCTCTTTCTCCCATTTCTTTTTTTCTTCTCCAGTTGTAAATAAGCCACAGCAAGGAGTTTGGCATATGCTTCAATTAAAAATCTTTGAAACTGATGAAAATATATCCATTGTACAATAGTGAAGCAGACCCTTAAATAATGAGTGGGCATCTCTTGGTAGTCTTAAAGTGCAAATTGTAACTTTTACTGGAACACTATACTTTCGAAAAATGACTTTAAATCGTACTAAATGTGGGTTCTTAAGACTGTAACAATGGTAGCTCACGTTTTTGGTGTTAAATTATATATCTTTTTAGCAAGAACCATGGGTCTTAATAGTATTACGAATGTTTTATTTGTTAGTTTCTCATTATTTATTAATATTTCATTAGTATTAGTATAATAATGTATTTAAGTGTATTAATGTTAGTATTAATAGTGTTACTTTAAACATTTACTAATCATGTTATTTATTAATTGATCTGTCTGGTATTATGCAGTATCTTTAAAAAATAATAATTAAAAACAGGCCATCATTTATTTTCATTGACCTGAACTTGAAGCAAAAAATAAAAAATGACAGTGCACTAACAACATATACGATCAATAAATGACAATTGACAATAAATCACATGACAATAAACACAAAAGTAAATAAAAATAGAACAAGATTTGAAAACAGATGAGACCAAATTCCTGTGGGAATATTTTCAGTATTCTAAGATACCTTTAGGGCCATCATAATTGGATTTGGTGCAGTTCATTCGTGGTTTCTCTCTGAATCTGCAGATGATGAGCTTTTAAGTTGGCATCTAAAATACACAAAATCTATGTTGTTTGTATTAAAATGAGTTTGATTATGATGAATGAAACAAGTTACAGTTTGAAAGTTAAAATATAGATATTTTTAGACTGTTTTAAAAAACAAAAAATAGAAAACAAAATCCGCAAAAAAGGACAGAAGTGTTACTGTGTGTAAGACACTTTTTAGAGTTCAGTTTCTGTTTTGATTTGGGTGTACTTTAGATGTTCAGAGGTGGATTAATCTCCTGCTTTTGCTATTGATCTGATTGCTAAAAGAGCTTTGGAACATCCTTTCAGTTTATTAGTTTCATAACAACAGTGATTAGAGATTTTAAAACGAGTTTGACCTAGAGCTGCAGCAGCACCCAGGAGCAAAACAAAAATCTTTTTTTTTTTTGGATGAAATGTGCTACAATTATATCAGTAAAACTGCTGACACAGAAAACTTTGACTTGAAAAGATACAGCAGGGGAACATGACGCATTGGAAATTACTTTTAGATTCAAAATCTGCTGGAAAGATGAACATTTAACAATTTTATGTTATAATTAAGCTAATTCACTGTTTAAGCAATTAGGCAAATTTATGACCCTAATCATGTGTACTCTGTGATACAAAAGGTCAGATTTTCTTGCTTCCTTTGAAACTGGAGTTGATCGTTTGGAAGATTCAGTCAAATCATGTAGGATAACATGGATCATCAGATTTTGAGGAGCTTTGGCTTCAGACCTGTGGAGTTCATGCCAGCTTGTGTGGGTTTGCTGGATTTTGGCTATTTTCAGATAAACATGTTCATTTCTTCAAAATGGAATTTAACTTTCAAAAGCCCCTTATTTGAGCTGCTTGTCGTGGTCTGCAATTCTAGAAATATTTTTTGTTTGTTTTTTTTTTTGGCTGCATTAGAAATTTACTTGAATGACAATGGCTCTTGACAAGGATTGTTTCATTTAGGGCATATAATGCATTGTGTCCAATGGCCATTGTTTTTGAGGTGTGCTGGTATTGCGTTTTTGGTTTAGGGGTTTGTAGGAGCAATTTTTAAAAATATTTAATGTCTTCAGGGAACTATTATGGCACACCTCGGCCAGTTCACATCGGTCCTGACAGCCCCCCCATTACATACCAGGAACATCGAAACCTCCTGAGGAACTTCCGTACCCGCAGCAAATCACTCAGCAACCTGGAAAAAGCAGTGGAGGAAGGTGACAACAGCGAGGAAGACTCTGGTCTGTCAGGTACTCAAGCTGTTGGCTGCAACTTTATTTTATATTAGTCACTTTTTTCTTAATTAATTTCAGGTAATGTCAGGTAAATGGTATATTTAGTCTATAAGATTATCTAATAAAGACAAGTCACTGTTAAAACAACAAATGAACTATTATTGAGGATTTTACATTTTGTTGCATTGGATTATTGACAAGTGAAGGTCAAGCTTGAACCATAAGATGCGTAAATGTCAAAAACTGCATAATGCATTATCTGTAAAAATTAGATAAGCTTAATGTGTTTGTTTTGAAATCTTGGTGCAATTTTGTGTACAAATTATGATTGCTGGGATAATTTTGTAAACTTTTTCTGTTGGTTTTAGTGACTTACTATTTTCAACAGCATCTATTTCTTATGAAGTACTGCAAGGCACTAGTTTGGGAACACAGGCTCATTGTGAAAACGTACCCCTGTATACATTTCTGGAGAGTGCAAATTATGTAGCCAGAGCTATGTATGGCTGCTTTTAATCTTTTTAATGAATGCTATGGGACAGTTTACCTCCGTGTGCAAGGCTTTTTTGTTGCCAGTTTGCCCAGTAGCTTGCTACAAATGTTGGCAGGCTTGGTCCCAAAGAATGGTCCCAGAAAGCAGGTAAAACAAAAACAAGTGGCAAAAAAAAAAAAAACAAGCAAGTAAATAACAGAGTAAGGCGTGGATGACACTCGCAAGAGTTATTTGAGATCTGAAAAAGTGTGCTCAGTGACCTCTGGTGGATTCACAAAAACAAAAACAGCAAAAAAACATACCTCTTGGAATGTATTTCGTGCTCTCCAGAAATGTATACAGGGGTACGTATCCGTAATGAGGCTGGGTTAAGTTTGGACATATGTTTGTTTATTAATTTTTCATTTTGAAAATATAATATTTTCATTCCATTATATAGTCAATACACTTATCAGCTCAAGACAAGCCATTGTTAAAACTAACATCTAGCTATTATTAATTTTTTTGATGAATTAAACCTAAAAACAAATCTTTAAGCACATTTCTTTACTAGCCAGTAATACGAAAGTCATTTTTGTTGTTTTCATGTAATGTGTACAATATTTTGAGTTTCATGTGCTATGCGAAAACTCCCAGCATCTTCAAATCTGACTTGACTTTCCATTTTGCCGTTATTTGGAACCCACGGATTTTTAAGACAAATGGATGTCAGCTCAGCCAGCACATGTTTGCAGTTTTACATTTTTGACATTAAAAGCTATGGAATTGTGTTCAGGATTGATGCCACTTCCGTATTAGAGCTGGCAAGAGGACAGTAACATGAACAGCATGACCTCACGCTGACCTGAGGTTGTCCAAGATTATACAAAGCGCCTGCATCTCATGCCATGTTGACTGTGTTTGGCAGCGGGGTCCGCAGGGGCCAGCAGTGCGCCTCCTACCACCATTGTCTCACCTAATCAGACATGGGACTTGGGCGGCGTGCGGGACGGAGGGCTTCCCATTGAGAACGGAGCACGTGGAGGGGCATTGCCTGAAAACTGGGAGCTGGCGTTCAGTGACACAGGAGAACCCTATTACATCAAGTGAGTCATCAAGGGGGAGAAGGAAAAAATGGGAAATAGAGCGGGGAAAAATAGACAGAAGGTCATTTGCTTCCTCTGGTAATTAAAGATTCTACTCAAAGTGATGTGACGATTTTGTATGTCACTTTAGATTTTTGACAAATAAAGGTGACATTTGAATTTGAAGATGCACTTCTGTGAAAACAAATTTCCTTTAATTAGTTAGCTTAATCGTAAAACATGAATTTATGAAACACATAAATTAAAATGACTTAATCTTTAGATCAAACTTTAGTGTTTAATGCTTTTTTTGTTATAAAAGGAAATATTTTAACTTTAAGATGCACCTCAGATGATAAATGCATAGTCATTGCCTTAATAAAAATTAAGTGTGGTGTTTATATCTTTAATACAGAGGTTTGAAAAACAGATAAATTATTGCTACAAATGGCTACTGGCCGATAAAATCGCTATCAATATAACATCATTGTCAATATTAATAAAAAAAAAAAAGATTGGGTATGAAGTTTTGGTATGAAGCGCTATAGTTTTATTGAGAAGTGGCTACTGAGCGCTCGCATTGGAAGACATTTTCCAGGCACACCTAGTTAAGTCAGGAGATAAGGATGTCAGGATGTCGGCAGAGTGGCTTTTTGGTTTCTTTTCTTGTGCATGCCAGCCACTAGCTCCCTATTTGGTAATGCAGTCATACAATATCACAATTTGTGTTGTTCAATGTGTATTTGGATAATTATAGCTGGTTTCTTTACATGAAAGCTCAGATTTGATTATCATAATTTTATAGTTATAGTTCACAGAGTTTGATGTTGTCTGTATCATTATTATTCACACCTTACAAAATGTTGATTTACCTTAGTTGCACATACTTTCTAACATTTTATTTATCAAGTTTAAGTGTGTCTTTTACATTTGTTTATTTTATTATAAAGAAATTAGATGTATATTTTTTTAATATATTTTTGTTTCTATTTGCCTCAGTAATGTTGGCAAATTAAAAATAAAGTGGATAAAATAAAAAAATCATAATATTCCTAAATGTATTGTTAAAAATATTCAATAATTATCAATATTGAATGGCATAAAACATTATATTGTGATATATTTTTTGCAATATTTCAACTTTAAGATGCACATCATAGGATGTTTTCAGCCACTCTGAGGTGATTTTGAGTCTTAATTTGGCCACAACTTTCTCTGCCTTTCAGCAAATGCAATGGTTTTTGGTGACAAATCTTATTTGGAGACATATTGCTAAAATACTTTGAAAAATTACAAAAAATTCAAAAATACACTAGGCAAATTTACTACCCTTTCATTATATTTGTGGCTGTTTTTGCCCTTATTGACTTCCATTATAAAAACATTTTTTGATTGCAAAGCCATGAACCCATATACTAATGCATTCTTGATTGTTGTTTGTCCTTGTTTGTAAGAGGTACAATTTGTGATTTTTATTGTTAATCAGCAGTTACAGTGCAAAACAAAGCTTAAAATTATATGGTTATGTGGAGTATAGTGTATGTGTGTGTGTGTGTGCGTGCATGCATTTAATTTTAGGTTAGATTTAGATCATGACGTCTGGTGACCAAAATTCAACGTCTAGCCAGCGGTCAACATTATTTTGATGTCCAATAAAGTCAAATTAAGTTGATATTTGGTTGATTTTAGGTTGTGTTGGTACGTTGGGGTACAACGTCAATATGACGTCATGTTGACGTCCTGTGCGTGCAGGGTAGTAAACATAGTAAGTGTATTTCTGCATAAACACTATATTCTGCTGTTTTAATCCATAGAACTCCATATAAAAGCCAGAAACTGTTTTGCACAGGCATTTCTAAAGGGTCAAGAGTGCAAACTGATGAGCAACATGAAAAATTTGAAGTTTTACCTCTTACCAACAAGGAAAAACACCAACAATCAAGAATGCATGATTATTTGGTGTCATGGCTTTACAATAAAAAATGTGGTTATAATGGAAGTCAATAGGGCAAAAACAGCCCCAACACAACAAAAGGGTTGGTCAGTTTGAAGAATTATAGAAAATTAACTCTGCTTAAATGTGTTGAGACTGTATTTTTAATAATTATTTTGTCTGAAAATGTGATATTTGAGTTTTGAAATGCACATCATATATTTTGTTTTTGTATTTTGCATACATTTTGAGTTTAAAAATATGACTTTTCCACTTTAAGATGAAAATCATTGGATGAACACAATGTATGCTTTATGATAATAAAGTGTTTTTAATGTGTAACTGTAACCTTTAAGATGCAGTATAACCTTTACTTTTCCAGTAAGGAAAAGTGCAAAATCTTTGCCTTTAAGTTTGCTTAATGTGTCAAGTGTATAATTGTTTTGCCACTTTGCACAATATTTACTCTATTAAGATGCACATACATCAGTGAAAAGTGCATAATCTTTGCCTAGACCTATAAAAATGATTGTTTATTGTTTTCAAAACTGCTGTTGTATTTCATCTTAAATTTGCTGATAAAACCTTGTGAGCCGGAAAAACAGTCTCTCTCATTTCTTTCATTTTTCAGCCATAACTCAAAGACCACAAGCTGGCTGGACCCAAGGACTCAGGGCAAAGAGATTGTCAGCAAGACAGAGTGTGAGTGTATATGTGTGCATGTGTGTGTGTGTGTGTGTGTGCGTGTGCGTGCGTGCATGCTTGGAACCTTTCCACTTTCTGCCCCCAAACACACTCTCGCTTCTCTCTCTGCAGTCTTCACACACAAAGATTAATGACAAACCTTCCTGGAGCCATTTAGTCTTTCTCTCACGCCTTCATCTTATCCTTTGCCTTTCAAACCTTATCCACAATCCTCTCATCCCTCCCCGCTCGCTTCATTCTTACATCTCTTTTTCTCTTTTTTGTTATCTGTCACTCAACACACTCTGTTATATTTGAGAAGGTCATGTCTGCTATCTAATCAGGCAATCTTTATAAATCTGTTAAGAAAGCAATTTGTGCAAATGCATGTAATCTATTTTCCAAAATATGCAATCTGAGACATTCAGGGATGTCAATAGCATCAAGCAAGCGAAAAAAAGTGTGAAATGCCAAATATTTGAATTGGTCAGATACATGAATATTTGTATAGTGGGTATTTTTTATGTCCAATATTCTGTTCGTTTCAGTTTTACCTTTAATAATTAGTTTGACGTTAATTAAAATGTTGCTTTTTCTGAATGTTACTATGCTTTATATTTGTTTTAGAATATTTTTTCTTTTCTGAATACTATTTTTCCAACATATTTCTAAACATAATAGTTTGTTCTGTAGACTATTAAAAAAATAGCTTAAAGGGGCTAATCATTTTGACCGTAAGAGGATTTTTAAAAAATTAAAAACTGCTTTTATTCTAGCTGAAATAAAACAAATAAGACTTTCTCCAGAAAAAAAAAATATTACCAGACATACTGTGAAAATTCCCTGTTAAACATCGCTTGGGAAATATTTTAAAAAAGGAAAAAAATCTAACTTCAGATGTGTATATATAGGCTGCACGATGTTGGAAAACTTTAACATTGCGATGTTTTTTTATTCTGCGATATATATTGCAATAGGTTGTATTGTGATATTGCGATTTAAAATGGGGTTTGATGATTTAGTAGTTGAGTGCATAAATATAAGAAAAAAGTATAGATAAATTCAATAGAGAAAAAGACACAAATTAAATAAACAGTGTTTTATTATCGGACTGTATTCAGGTAAATATTACTGCCTATTCATCATTTTATAAACAATTCAATAAAATGAATTGTTATTAGTTTGTCAAAGTTATAAACGGTACAATTTCTTAAGTCTCTCTCTCTCTCTCTCTCTCTCTCTCTCTCTCTCTCTCTCTCTATATATATATATATATATATATATATATATATATATATATATATATATATATATATATATATAAATATATATATATATTTATGTAAACTGAATGCAAAATGAATGGATATTTGCAGAGACTGAAGTAAGGGTAATAGTTTTGTACATTAGGTTTTGCTACATAAATCAAAATGATGCCTTCAGCAGCCGAATGTTTATATTTAAGATGAATTATCCCTTTAAGTTTAAAGGATTTGTTTCTTTTTACAGCAATTTTAGATTTGTTTTATTTAGGGTCACCATTAGCCACAGCAATGCAATTTTAACAAGATACAACTTATTTGACAGAAAATACAGTCTGTGCATGCATATAAAAGTGGGGTATAAAAGTCTAAGAGAGTGGTATTTTTAAAAATAGGAATTTTAAAATGTATAACACATGTACTACACATAAAAACAGTGACGCACTATATATATTACATTCTGTCTGCTATTGTTTAAAAATAGTATATGGAACCCTATGAATTATGCAATTTTTAAAAGTAGTATGCTATATTGCCACATGTGCTTTTAACATTGCATGTATACGTTCAGTTGTGGTTATTTCGTATTTTTGATGCAGCTGTGTTAAAAAAATACTTTTGGCAGTTTGTTCAGATGATTCAAAAAATGCAAGTATTACCTGCTAATTTGTTGCAATGAGAAAGTCTTCTCAAATGCACTGCATTGTGGTAAACGGTGTTTACTATTACAGTATCAGAAAAGATACAAAAAAGATACAATTTTACAAGAACAGTAGTATATGATATTGTGCTGTTTTTTTTAAAGTAGCTACTTTTTATCTTCAAATGGCTTGATGGCATTTTTAATATTTAGTTTAATAATTTAGCATTTAATTTCCCAGTCCTGGGTTGCAGCTTTAAGGGGATCCGCTGTGTAAAACATATGCAGGATAAGTTGGTGGTTCATTCCGCTGTGGTGACCCCAGATTAATAAAGGGACTAAGCCGAAAAGAAAATGAGTGAATACATATGTACAGCTCTAATGGCGCCAGCAGATGGCAGTGTTGTATAGCAGTTCGCTGCATTGTTAAACACTGATGTTTAGGTTTAAGGTTATTGTTGGACTCTGTGTACTTGGCATAAACACTTATTTCTGTTTTTACTTTAAATGCAAATTTTCTTGTGTGTGTGTCTGTGTGCATGAATTAGTACCTGCATTCACAGACCAGCCATCTGATCTGAAGGGCTATTCCATACACACTCGCTTGCTGAAGGGACCCCGTGGGTTTGGCTTCAACATTGTGGGTGGCAGCAGACCTCGAGAGTTTCTGCAGGTGTACAGTGTCACTCCCGGGGGACCGTCTGCACTCAAAACAGGTAAAACACTTTTAAAAAGTCTTAAGAAAACAAGTACAAACACTGTCCGCAGAGTATCCAGATTATAGCAGATAATATTAGGATTGAATTTTTTGCAACATGTCTCTTTGGTGGGTCAGTTGAGCTATTTCTCAATGTACATGTAAAAATACTACACTGTAAAACCCAACAGTCAACTTTATCGAATTAAAATGAGTGTAGTTAACTCAAAATTGACTGAAAGTTAATTCTAGTCATTTGAAAAGAGTTTTGAACTCAGTGTTGAAGATAATGAATTAATTAAATACCTCTTTACTTTAACTTAAATGGAATAAGTTCACAGTACTCATATAGATTAGGTTTCCTCAAACGGTTTGAGTTGCCTTAACTTTTTGGGTTTTACAGTACTCAGTTGGTTTGAGTTCTCTTAATTTATTGGCTTTTACTGTGTTCAAATTGCTTTATTTACTCAAATGGATTAAGTTCACAGTATTACTCATGAAGATTAGTATTTGAACCTAAATACTTTATTTCAACTGATTTCCTCAAACGGTTTGAGTTAACATTTTGGGTTTTACAGTGTACTAAATAGATAACGGTGATAATTATTATTAAATATAGTGGTTTCGAAAGTCATTTTTCTGCTAGGCAAATTAAGAATTTGATACAGTTGTAAATTGGATTTTTATGCTTTTATTTTATGCTTTTATCCCCTGAGAAATAAGGGACTGAGCCGAAGGAAAATGAATGAATGAATGAATGAATGAATGAATGAACTTACTGTATTGGTTTTAAAAGGTCTTGTGAATGATGGTTTTCTTATTTAACATTTTTACTATTGTTTTACAATTACTAAATTATATAATTTTTGTTTTTATTATTATTATTATTATTATTATTGTTATTGTTGTTGTTATTACAATTAAATACAAGAGATTTTTGGGCATTTTTATTTTTATCTGTAGCATTTTTACTACAGTATTTATTAACTGCTAATGTACTGTATTTTATTATTAATATTCTAATCTTGTAATGGTTTTGAAAGGTCTGGGAGATGAACAATATTAGATTTTATTTTATAGTTGACTATTATTGCTTATATATTATTATTATTATTATTATTATTATTATTAAGCAATTTTTAGAGAAAAAAAATCATGATAAATTGCAAATGTCTTTGCTCATAATGAAACATTTCAGAAGAACACTCAGGAACATTTGGAAAGGCATAAGATTATTAATGTAAAAAATATTTTTATGAGGCAATTTTTTAATCTTTCTAATGTCACATTTGGACAAAATTTAAAAAAATAAAATAAAAATAAATAAATGCTTTCCTGCATGCCACATTCACATGGCAACACGGTCTCTCCTGGAAACTGCTATAAGTGGCTCCTGCTTTTTGATGCCTCTCTACAAATTTGCAGAACAGGAGATGGCACTTCAACAGGTCACTTCTTTAAATATTTATACATTTATGACAGACATAATAATTTAATAACATGCATAGATTTGTGCAGGGGACTCTTGAGGACGCAGTGAATCATATGTGACGTAACGGCACCTCTGACTTTAATGTCCTCTTTTTACATTTAAAAGAAGACAAAAAGCTTCATAGATCTGGATTTAAGTCAGACCGTTTATAGATGGAAGAAAAAGCCAGGCAAGAGAATAGGATCTGATGGATAAAAGATGAGCTGCTTGATTTTCCTCTCTCCCTATCCTCTAATCTATCCCTCCAATCCTCACTTTTATTTTAGGCTGGAAATCCCTTGACACTCCTTCTCTCTCTGGATTAGATTAGTCTGTGTATATGCGCGCGCGTGTATGTGTGTGTGTTTAGTGATTTGGAGGGTCTCATGGTTTGAATCTGCTGCTGATCTGCTGTTAATCCAGATGCGCCTGTAGGTTTTAATCTGCCTGTCTTTTACACACAACACTGTCTGCTCACGTGTGCCCACAAAGCCTCCTGCCATCACTTATCCCTAAAGGGGTCAGGCGATACATGATTTGATTTCAGTTGATTCAACAAATAGAATTTAATTTATTTTTATAAGTGTCATTTGTAATACTATTTATGTATGAACATGATAAAAATAGTAAAGATAATATATTTGGATATATAGTAATTTTATAATTTTAACAATAATAATAATAGCAATGGGCATCACGGTGGCACATGAGTTAGCACAATCGCCTTACAGCAAGAAGGTTGCTAGTTTGAGCCCTGCCTGGGTCAGTTGGCATTTCTGTGTGGAGTTTGTATGTTTTCATCCGGGTGCTCCAGTTTCCCTCACAAGTCCAAAGACATGCTCTATAGGTGAATTGAATAAGCTAAACTGGCCGTAGTGTATGTGTGTAAATGCAAGTGTATGGGTGTTTCCGAGTCTTGGGATGTTGCATGAATGGCATCCACTGAGTAAAACATATGCTGGATAAGTTGGCGGTTCATTCCGCTATGGCCACCCCTGATTAATAAAGGGACTAAGCTGAAAATAAAATAAATGAATAATTGCAATAATAACCATTACTTACTCACTCACTCACTCACTTTCACCTTAGTCCCTGATTTATCAGGGGTTGCCACAGTGGAATGAACCGCCAATTACTCAGACATATTTTTTACACAGCAGATGCCCTTTCAGCCACATCCCAGCACCAAGAATACGCTACTGTTCTCTGAATTGTACTGTAACTAACATACTGACAAGGTTCTCTTAAAATTAAAACAAATTCCAGAATTGTTAATGATCAGTGTTCTTGTTGACAGCGGGATGTCTTTCATTCTATTCTGTAAATTTTAGCACAAAAATATTACTTGTACATCTAATAACAATAATAATAATAATAATAATAATAATTCCTTACATTTATTTAGCGCTTATCAAAGTACTTTACATGAATCTCCTCATCCACCACCAGTGTGTAGCATCCACCTGGATGACTCAACGGCAGCCATATTGCTCCAGACCGCACACCACACACCAGCTGATTGGTGGAGAGGAGACAGAGTGCTGAAGCCAACTATGATATGGGATGGTTAGAAGGCCATGATGGACAGAGACCAATGGGCAAATTTGTCCAGGATGGCGGGGTTAAACGACCATCTGTTTTTCGAAGGACATTTTGGGATTTTTAACGACCGCAAACAGTTTATATAGAGACTATATTAATGTAACAACCACTTTTGTCTCCTCTGAAAGACGGCACTCACTGAGCAGTATAGAGTCCCCATCAATACACTGGGGCGTTAGGACACACACAGACTGCAGGTTGAACACCCCCTGCTGGCCTCACTAACATCACTCCTGTCAGCAACCTAGCTTTCCCATGTGGTCTCCCATCCAGGTACTGACCGGGCGCAGCCCTGCTTAGCTTCAGTACATCAGTTTCCATAATGTGTTTGGAATAATCAATCGGAATGGTCTCTTAACCTTTGCATGACCCAAAACATTTTTAAAGCAATTTTAAAATCTGGAAGTCTTGAATTAGGACAGAACGTTTAAAAATAGTGTTTTCATAACTTCATGGCTATGCTAGCATGTTACACATAACATTAGTTTTGTTAACTGGGAGTCGGTTTGCATTGTAGACTGAACTATTTAAATGTTATGCTTTAGATCTAAATCTTTACATCTCTACACTTTAATTCCTCTTGTACTCTTTGCACTCAAAAAAAAATCGGATTGTTTACAATTTGATTTCCCTTATGCATAAAAATAAATGACAGAAATCTCTCTCTCTTTCAGCGGATATCCTGGTGTACATCAACGACTCATGTGTGCTGGGTTTGTCTCATAAAGAAGTAGTAGAAATGCTGAAATCCGTCCCCATGGGTCACAGTGTGGATGTTGTTCTTCGTCGAGGTTACCCCATGCTCTACAACCCTGATGGCTGCCCCAAAACCAGTCTCGCCTCCCCTTCTGACACACCCAACACCAACCCTGCAGCCCCTGGTTCTGCTCAATCCCAGGTCCAGCATCCTGATGGACAGCAACCTGCCTTTGTGAACCTCAACCGCTCCATGTCACTCCACAACAACTTCTACCCCCGCATGCAGAAAGAGGCCTTGGATGCCAATGGGAACACTGCACCCCAGCCTTCCTACTCAATGGCCAATGGAAATGGAGTTGGAGGGATTATAGGGCTGGGGGCGGTGCCTTTATCAAACGGCCCCGCCCCTTCAGAGCGAATGAGCTCCAGTCATAGCGATACAGAGGTCAGCTCTGTTGTCACACGCAGGTAACAAAAATTTGACAGTCAGTTCATCTGAAATATCAAACCAGTTTACTTATTTTTTTCTTATTATTATTGATGCCACCCTGTGTACACATGCATTTATTTCCATCCTCTACACAGAGCTTCCCTTATCAGAAGCTACAACAACAACTCTCTTCCAGCCCCTTCTCACACCAATCACAGTTCCAAGTCTTCCGAGAGTGATTTCTCTTCTACTGCGCTCCCACTACCCCAGCCTGAGGTGGGTCCTACTGCTCCACCACCAGGAGCACCCAGCATCCAGCGGCCTCCCATGCCCCAAACATCTCTTGCCGTCGCACCCCCAACCGAGCACCCACCCTGTGGTTTCAACGGGTGTCCAGCCAACAACCCCCCGCGGCCTCTCCCGGGTGGCCTAGGGTCCCCAGGAGCCCCAGGTGGGGTAGGCTGTGGGGGAGGGGGTGAGCTGGTACCTGTGGCCTTGGGCAGGAGCGAGGGAGGGGGAATGGGTTTCAGTGTGACGGCTGGGGGGCAGGGAGGTCAGTTGGCAGTGGTGAAGAGAGTCTGGGACAGGCGACAGTGCCACTCCTTACAGCCAGGGGATGCCATTATTAAAATCAACGGGGCTGATGTGCAGAGCCTCAGCTTTGCACAGGTAATTCAGTAACTCTACAGTGTTCTGAAACTTTTTTTCTTATCTGAATCACTGCATATGATCTTTTTCATATGAACAGGTGCAGCGGGTGCTGCAAGAACATACCAAACAGGGGGAGGTGGTCTTACTGGTTTACAGAGGAGGTGAGGGTCATCGACACTGTGTTCATATTTCTACCATTACACAGAATATAACACCCTTCACTCATCATTGTCATGTTCTCTCTCAGGTCCTCTTTGCTCCCCAGGCTCCCCGAATGCCTATAAGAGACCCCCTCCTTCACTGGGCACTCCTGATCTGACCTCGCCCTCCTCTGATGGTGCTGTGCCCAGCCAGAGCACCCTCTCTCCCTCCTCGCCCTGTGGTGACCTTCCCAACCTGGTCCAAAGCACCAGCTTCCTGGACTCAGTGCCCGTTACCCTGACCCTAGAGCCTCGGGACTGGTTAGGAGTGGAGGACGGACCTGCTCAGTGGAGCCGAACTGCTGTCTCTAACCCTGGCGCAGTATCTAAAAGCCATGTGGACACAAGGGCAGCAATCTCTTCCAGAGCCATGGATGTGGAGTTGAGACGAAGACCAGGAGAAGGATTCGGGTTTGTCATTGCATCCCAGGATGTAGTGAATGGAAGTAAGTAGTCTTGTCAAAACCACTTTGCTACTAATCTGCGCTTACATTAAAAAAATGCATGGGTACCATTTTCTCTGTTGTACATGTAGTAACAAGTGCTAAGCCATCTGGTTCTTATTGATAGACTATTACATTCAAATCATTCCAGACATTTTCTTTTAATGACCACTGCATTTGATATTTAAAAAACTATCCATGTAATTCACTCTCATGGCCTCATGAGGTGCTTTAGTAGCTCATACAAAAAGAAATGCTCTTTAGCATCCTTTTTAGTAGGCCTGTGTTCCATACCCAAAAGCTGGTTTGAATACCACTTGGGGACAGGGCAAGTAAAAATGTGAAGGTTATGTTGGTGACGTGACCCGAATTGACTGGGTTTTGGGGTTGTGAGTATAAAAGAGGCCAGGTATTGAAAAGGTGGTCCAGAGTGTTTTTTTTAAAGCTTGATTGTGTTTATGGTCTGCTAAACATTGTGTGCTCGTGCTTCATTTGTACAAAATCACGTTATTTTTTTCACATATCTTGCCATAATTTTATACTGGTACTCAGCTAGCATGAATACGACTATGATATTTCCTGGTTCCTCCAAAGGCCCGCCGCCAATGGCCTCTGATTGGTCAGCTAACCTAATGTGTTTTGATTTGCGGATTGGATCCACCTCACTAGGAAACGTCATACCTCTTACTAGCAATTCGGCATCTAGTGTTGACAGTTTCGCCATGCCTCAAATGTAAAATAATATTTGACAAATGTCTTTCATTTCTATTTGGGTTAGCATGTGTAAGTAATACGAAAGGTTCACATATCTTTTGCAAACTCAAGTTAATTTCAAGTGTTGAACGCAGGAAAAGCGACCATGTAGAGAGACATTGCAATCACTAGTGAAGATTGTTGGTGTTTTCATCTCTTAGATATTAATTTAATAAATATGAATTCATTTGTAAATTGTTAACAGTGTGGCAAACAGTGTTTCTCGTTGTTTACATCCTTGCGCCTAGAAACTATACATGAAGGAAATAAATTTTAACAAAAATTTAAATACTCAAAGGTTTTGGCTGAATCCAGCACTAAACAGGGAAAAATTCTGGAAGCTGTCCTTTGTAAAATGCTTTGAAATGCTCGGTGGTTAGTACAATCGCTTCAGAGCAAGAAGGTTGCTAGTTTGAGTCCAGGTTGGACCAGGAAGCATTTCTGTGTGGAGTTTGCCTGTTCTCCCTGAGTTCACGTGGGTTTCCTTTTGGTGCTCTGGTTTCCCCCACAGTCCAAAGACATGCCTTAGAGGTGAAATGAGTAAACTAAATTGGCCATAGTGTATGATTGTAAGTAAATGAGAGAGTGTATGGGTGTTTCCGAGGTGGTGGGTAGAAACATATGCCAGACTAATTGGTGGTTCATTCTGTTTTTCGTGACCCCTGATAAATCAGGGATTAAGCTGAATCATAGTGAGTAATCTATTTATGTTCTGGCCTAAACGTGTGACCTTGTGTTGTGTAATCTTCAGCCAAAATAATGACACCATTAATACATGTATGAACTAATACAGTAGTTTTGTATTATTATTCACAGTACATCATATAAATATAAACATCAAAACTCTGTAAATATAGCTTCTTTCTCTATAAAGAGAATGAACAATTCTTGTTCCACATTTTCATGGCCAGGTGATTTGTTGGGAGGAAAAGGGGGCAATTTATCCTCTGAGCATGTTGTCTGACTGAGTCATGTCATTATGCAATAAGCATGTTCATAGAACATTTCTAATTAGCAGACTAATTATGATTTCTTTCAGATGATTTGAAGCTTGGCTGATGTGTACGCTGTGATTTGTAAGAAGACGTTTATAGTTGGTTTTTATTAATTACTAATATGCATGATTTTGTAGCTCACTGCTCTGAGCGTTGAGGGGAAGGGTTTGTAAATGCAGGATGAAGTAAAATCGGAGTGAGGTCATGGTTTGTGTGCAGCTGTGCTTGTAACTGTGAAACGACAAATGGAACCGTTTCCTGATTGCAGTTTTTCCTGTTTTCATTCTCTTTTTTCTTATTCTTTGTCCTTTTATATGTTGTGTTTTGTAGTAGTTCAGTACTTGGTCATTGTCTTTTGAGGGTGTATTGTATAGCAGAGTTTAGAGTATTGTTGAAAACATCTTATGTTTTCAGATCCACATTCATTTACAAAGATGTCCAGGAACCAGTGAGATTTGCCTGTTTTACATGTTTCTTAACAATTTTGAAAAAAATATCTGTGATAAATATTTAATATCTGATTACACACTTTATTAACACAAATATAATAATACTTTAAATTATAACATTATTAAAATTTTATTACATATCACATTTATACTTTAAAATAGGTTCATATGAAAATAAATGAAATAATGCTATGAATAACGAATTAAATAAAATATTGGAACTTGGATAACAAAAATGAATTTTCGGCTTAGAACCTTTATTAATCTGGGGTCGCCACAACGGAATGATCCGCAAAATTATTCAGCAAATGTTTTACGCAGCTGTAACTCATCACTCTGAAACATCCATAGGCACTCATTCCCACACATACACGATGGAGAATTTACCCTACCCAATTCACCTATAGCCCATGACTTTGGACTGTGGGGGAAACCGGAGCACCTGGAGAAAACCCATCTGAACACGGGGAGAACATGCAAACTCCACACAGATACGGCAACTGACCCAGGCGAGGCTCAAACCAGCAACCTTCTTGCTGTGAGGCAAACATGCTACCAACTGCGCCACCAAGCAGCCCATGAAAAGTTTGATTGAAAAGAAATGAAAAGAAGAAAGGATTTATAAAAACATTGACAATATTTATATTTACTAACTATTGTTTATTTGTGTGAATGTATAAATACTACAACAAATGCATTGCTCTTTGTAGTTAATGCAATAACTCATTTTAACTAATAGACCTTGTTGTAAAGTGTTACCCTGTAATCCAAAAATAAATTTGTTGTCACCGGGCCCATCCAGGTCTTTAGTGTACTAACAGTACCTTGTGTTAATTTTTTGTTGTTGCATATAATTTATTAAAGATTACCAGTTCAGTCAATCATGTATATCCTTAAAAATAAATGACATTTAACTTGTTTACAGAAAAATATTAAATGTATCCAACCCTCACCAAGGCTGCATTTATTTTTTCCAATTACTAAATACACTAATAATGCTATGAGATATTATTACAATATAAAGCAAAATTATATATTTTTATATATTTCAAAATGGACGGTACGGTCGCCTCAAAGCAAGAAGACCACTGGTTTGAGCCACGGTTGGGTCAGTTGGCGTTTCTGTGCGGAGTTTGCATGTTCTCCCTGTTTTTGCGTGGGTTTCCTCCGTGTGCTCCGGTTTCCCCCACAGTCCAAAGACATGCGGTATAGGTAAACTGAAGAAGCTAATATGGCCGTCGTGTATGAGTGTGAACGCAATTGTGTATAGATATTTCATTTGGAGTCATCCGCTGGATATTGACGGTTTCTTCCGCTGTGGCGACCCCTGATAAATAAAGGGACTAAGCCGAAGGAAAATGAATGAATATATTTCAAAATGTAATTTATATTTGTGGCGATTCATCCCAGTATTCTTCTTATTCACTCAAAACATTTTTTTGCTACTTTTTCAAACTACTTATTTAAAATAAATTGAATCAACACAATTTTAGTTTTTTTTGGGGTACAACTTGGTTGTTTTATCTTTAATCCATATAAATTTGTAAACAATTATGTTAACTTAATCGATTTGTGTGGAATGCAGTATTTTTTACAGTGTTGTCAATGTTTAAAACACAATTCTTCTTATACCTTTTGTTTAAATTGAAAATAAAATACAATTATTGAGATTCTTTAATGATTAGTATAAAAAAAGCATTTTAAAGTATTACAATCACCTTTAATTCCTCTTTTCTTGAAAATGAATTTAAACTTTTATATGGTAATGCATACACATTGCATGTGTTGTTATAGTATATAGTGATAAGTATAGATATGTGAATATTTTTGGGAAAGGATTCAGTGTAGTATTAAATCGCTCTTATTTTCCTCATATGCACTCTCTCACCCTCCCTCCAGTGATTTCTCTCTCTCTCTCTCTCTCTCTTTCTCTCTCTCTCTCTCTCTCTCTCTCACACACACTCTCTGCACTTTTTTACCCTCTTTCGCCCCTCTCTTTTCCTCAGATCAGTTTTGTCAGCGCAAGCAGCTTCAATTTCTCTGCTCTGAAGGGAAAAAAACACCTGAACACTCCTGATTTTTGCTCCTTTTGTAAAAAAATAAATGCAGATTTAAAGCCTTAGTGTCAGAAATTCTGTGGATTTGAAGCTGGATTTAGAAACTTTATCAGGACAACATGCTGGAAAGGCTTCAGGCTGCCCTGAAAACTGTGAAGGACGCCAAACGTAAATACTTTCTCTTGTATTTTAATTAATTATTGACTCAAGTACTGCTTCGTTTATTCAAAAAATAAGGATCTGCAGCCTAATTTGTCTGTTTCATAATTCTTTTTCATTATATTTTTCTTCAGCTGAGATGGGGTGTGTTCAGGTTTTGTAATAGGATGCATGTTTAGGTGGAGTATAGTCTTTGAGCTCTACGGGATAGCTCTTATGAAGTGATTTTATTTGATTAAAGCTCTGCACTTTCATTGTTCAGAGCGTCCTGGAGCTGGGGTTCACCTGGCTTTTACATGCCTGAAATATTTCCAGTGTTTGTGCCAAAGAAAGGCTCAATTCTTCTGTGATGTGTTGGACCAGCGAGAGCAGACTCAACACTGCAGAAGAGTACAAATCTCTGCGTACAGGAATATAGTAGAATTCAACAAAATAAACAATTATTGAAATATCTCATTTGCATGTAGCAGAATGTTTGTATCATAGCATTAACATGCTTGTGAATATTTTTTTATTATAAAAAAACCTGACAGTAACACGCTACTGTAAAAAGATCACATTGTAATACTTTAGTAATTCTGTTTAAAATG